CAGTGCCCAGCCCCCAGGAACCCAGCCCCTCCATGGCAGTGCCCAGCCCCCCATGGCAGTGCCCAGCCCCACCCGCAATGCTCTCACCGTGCCCTTGGGCTCCCGGAGGGCAGCGAGGGGCTCGTCGGCCTTGCCCAGCTGCCCCAGGTCGATGCTTTTCCTCTCCTCCTGCCGGCCGTGCCGCCTGCCCTCGCCCCCGCGCCGGGGCCGACCCTCCGGCTTCCGCTCGCCCTTGGCCAGGCTGCCGGTGCTCAGCTTGCGCACCGGGGTGGTCAGCCACTTCTTGAGGGTGCTGACGGAGCGCCGGGAGCCGGGCGAGCTGGGCGCGGAGCCGGACGAGGGCTGGGGCTGGATGGAGGCCACCGAGGCCGAGATGCTGCCATCACTGCCTGCCACCGAGTAGGACTCTGCGGGAGAGAGGCTGAGGGGTCAGAGAGCAGGGCAGGCACAGGGTGGGCAGGGGGCTGGCACTGGGTGGGCACAGGGTGGGCAGGAGGGCAGGCACAGGGTGGGCAGGGTCCTGGCATGGGGGAGAAGCTCTGGAGGAGCGAGGGCTGACTCTCCAGGTGGGCCGGGGGGATACTCTGTGACACCAAGTGGGACTGTTCTTAACGTTTTCTCTGAGTGCTGTGTGGGTGCCTCAGTTTCCCCTATGCACTTCTCAAGTGTCTGGGGACGGGGGTGATTGTTGCAGAGCCCTAGAGGGCCAGTGTGATGGTGTCTGCACAGAGAATGGCCGACACCCTGTCTCCTGGCCACTGATGGCCTGGGCCCCTCCCCTGCAAAGATGCCAACTGAAGGTGTTGGAGAACAAAGGGATCAGGTGGCCTCCTGGCCTGGGAAGAGACAAAGGGAGAGGAGGGGCTGGAGAGTCAGTTTGGAGCTGGCTGGGGAAACGGAGGGGAGCCCAGACAGACCTCCTGGCCTCCCCTGGCCCCCCAAGCTGGACCCGGCTGAGGGGTCCTGTTGTCTGTACCTGCAAGACGTGTCTTGGACTGTGTTCCTGTCGTCTAAATAAACCACCTGTTTTACTGGCTGGCTGAGAGTCGTGGTGAATCGCAGGAAGCCGGGGGTGCAGGGCCTTGTCTCCCCCAAACTTTGTGAGACTCCATGGGGTGTGGCATGGGGGGTGTGGAGAGCCAAGGGGCTCCCTGAGCGGGCATGGAGGAGAGCAGCACACAGACATGTGGGGGCTCTCACATGGGTCCAGAGGGGATCCTCGGGGACACACACACACACACACACTGAGCGAAGATAGCGTTTGGGGGGTCATGCCCCGGGTGGCTTGGGAGGGTGCCAGGCGGGCGTAGGAGGGGGGGCTGCTGTGGGTGGGCAGGGCTGGCAGCTTCTTTCCAGGCCCAGGAGAGAAGCCAAGTCTCTCGGGGGCCCAGTTGGCAGCATGGGATAAAATGCCTGGGAAGGGATGACCCAGGCCTTGAGCAGCCCGGCTTAAACCATTAGCCCCTGGGTTTGCGGCACAGTGGGGCGACACAGAGGCCCACGTGTCCAGGCCCCCATCCCTGATCCCCACAGTGGGGAGCGCTGGCAGCAGGGGGGGGGCGGCTGGGACTTAGCCCAGCTCAGAAATCTAATCCCTTCTATTCCAAACAATTCCAGCTGCGGAACGGAGCCGGCGCCGGCAGGCCCTGGCACGTCGGCTGCAGCCACGTCCTCTCTGTCCTGCAGACCCCCTGCAAAGCCCCCTGCCCTCCCCGCCAGCCCAGTCCAGAGCCCTGCTAACTGGGGGGGGGGGCAGGGCTTCCAAAGAGCTCACCTCCCAGTGCTCAGGGCCCCAGGGTTCGGGGCCTAAAGGGCAGCAGAGTGAGCTCTTTGGATAATCGGGTCCAGGGAGTACATGCGAGATAAACATGAGAAGCAATTAAGCTCCTTTACGGCACGAGAGAGGCAAAACCACAAGAGCCACCACCCAAAGCACCAGCCAGTCAGGAATCTGAGCTATGGGGGCGAGGGGCCTCCAAGGGGGGCCTGAATGCAAACCCAGAGGGCTGGGGATCATTTGGATGGAGCTGTGGCTACCTGAAGAGAAGCAGCAGAAAAAGAACAGGAACATGGCCCTGAGACCAGCCTGGAGAGCGTGAGAGCTTTTGGGCACAGCACGGGCTGGGAGGGGCTTGGGATGGGAGCAAAGCACCAGCCTCCCGCTGTTTGATTCCTGCTGCCTCGGGGGAAACAGGACTTTGTCCATACACAGGATTGCATCAAAGATCCCGGCTCCAGCTGCGATTCCTCCCCCCACCGGAAACAACCCTCCCTCCCATATCCCCCCCCACACACACACACGCGCCCCGGGATCGGCACCCGCCTCCAGCCCATTTCAAACCCACACTTTACCCAGCTGGGGAGCCTCATCCCAGCCCCATCTCCTGGGAGGGACGGCAAGGGAGGCGCCTCCCCAAAACAACAGAGCTGGGGAGAGAACCCAGGAGTGCGCCCAACTGCGCCCCCTGCCATCTGCTTTGGGGAAACTGGGACATGCGTTCGAGAAGCAAGGAACGACCCCTCACGCTGGACTCCCCCATCCTCCCCCGAGGGAGACCCTTCCCCTGCCATCCCAGCCAGGTGCACTGACCCTGACGGTGCCCGCTCTCAGCACAGCTATCCGTCAGCAGCAAAGCCTGTAGCAGGCAGGACAGGGGGAGGGAAGGCCACCCCGGCAGGGCCCGGCAAGGCGGGGGGCGGCGGGGGCTGGGCCAGCGCCTGGCGGGAGGTGATAATCCCATGCAGCGAGACTGCACCTGCTCCCGAAATAACCTTGTCTGCGTCAGGAGCCCGGGACGTGTCAAGCCGCCGTCATGGGCACCCCGCCCCACCCACATGGCCGCGCCAGCAGGGGCAAAGCGGAGGGGCCTGGGCACAGTGATAGGGGAACGTGCCGCCCCCCCAGGAGAGGGGCTTCCTTGGACACCTGCCCGAGCTGGCACCTCCCCCCCTGAGCTGGAGGGCGGCCCTGGCATGGGGACGGAGGCCCAGGGACTGTGGGGGGTAGCAGGGCACAATGCCCCCATGATGTCCTCCCAGCAG